TTCCAGTATAAAGTACTCCTAAATACTCCTTAAGCTAGGCCTTGTTTAAAATAAAAGGGTTTTGAAAATCTTAAACTTACCTTCACTTAAGGCCAACCAGAAACCGACAGCGTAGTGTTCACTGTTGGGTGGGTGGTACCCCCAAACGAGTAGGTACTCAAGTTTGGTTCTTGGATCTCGTACGTACGTTTTAACCCTAGCCACCGGGGTTCATACCCGCAAGGCCTAACTTAAATAGGTATATCTTAGAGGTCTTCTAGATACCTTTCAAATCAACATTAATATGAGTATATCTTAGAGGTATTCCAGATACCCTTAACAATATATTATTTTCACAATCATCAATATATTCATTATGATTTAACATTCACAATATCATTTTAATCAGAATATTTATTAAGATTTAATCATCATAATCATCAATCAATAATTATTATCATAATCATTAATCAACATAATATTCAATAACAACTAGCGGGCTAGCTTCGGGTGTTAACACCCTAACTTATCGTCATGCATTCAGACAAATTTTCGGATCAGAAATTCGGGGGATCGATCCAGCCCCCTGGATCGATCCATACTATGAAAAATCACTCCCAGGGGATCGATCCAAGCCCCTAGATCGATCCAGACAGTGGTGTTTCAGCAACTATTCATCTTCTTCTTTGTTCGGGTCCAATTTCGAAAATATCGTTTTTAATTATCGAACTTCAACGAAACTATATAGAGATGTTCTCCAAGGTTCATAGATCATTTTGGCATCATTAATTCATAGTTTTAACATCAATTTCATGGTTTATGATTCTTGGTTCTTCAAGCACGTCAAACACAAAACTCAACCAAACGACCGTTTATGAACGTAGAAACGATCTATACGAACATTCTAGTCACTAGATATATCTACAGGCTTACCTCAAAGGTAAATGAAGGTTTTGGAAATTTTCCGGTGAAACTTCCGGCAAAGATTGTGGCTATCTCCGGCGACCTCACACCAATATGACAGCACTACTGCGTTCTCCTCACTCCCAGCAACAGAATAGACAGAAAGTTGGTAAGAAATGGTGAGGAATTGAAGGAATGGAGATGACCCTTATATAGCCAAGTGAAGGAGGAAGAAGACACGGTGATGAGCTCTCCTTCAACTGTTTCGGAAGCTGGGTGGAGTGGGCTGCGATTTCTTCCCAAGTCCCTGATTGGGACTAATTTGGCCCAGTCGGGGAACACTTTTTGGTCCAACTTTCGCCAAATTGAAATCCGTTTGCACCATTGTGATCGTTCAATTAAACTCTATCGAACGATATAATTTTCATATTTATTTGTAATACTTTTTCTGACATCATATTTTTGAGTGGTTGACATTGACAGAGTCAAAATTGATTTATTTGAACTTTACTCTAAAAGGTTCTTACATTCCATTCATATTATTTATTCTCATGATTTATTTTAATAAATCATTTCAAAGTTCATATCATAAACAAATTTCTTCATTTATCCTTGATTTGGGTCCGTATTCAGGTTCCCAATTTAGGTCACACAATAAGTCAACATATGAGACTTATTTTGATATTGGATATTAAAACATATTTTATGTCGGCCCAAAGCCCAAAAACAATTTATTTTAATCAAACAAATTTGTTTAATTGAATAATTATTCATTAATAATTCTAGGATATATTTTGGGGCGTTACAATCAGAGCAACCCTGCGACCGTGACGGGCCAAGAGAGCTTAGTTCACCTAGCGGGGAAGATCTAGGGGATTGAAAAAGAGGATGCAATGAGGACGTTGCATTTCTAAGTGGGGGTGAATGTAATACCCTGATTTAAAAATAAATGAATTACGGAAAGAAAAGGCTTAAAAGGATTGATAGTATTACTCATACCATCAAGGTACATTTTCTTTTCGAGATCATCACTCAGAAACTCCAAAGTTAAGCATGCTTGACTTGGAGAAATTCTATTATGGGTAACCCCTGGGAAATTCCTTGGGCGCGCACGAGTGAGGACAAAGTGCGTGGGAAAGACTTGTGTTGGTTTTTGGGGCCAGTCTACAATCTTATAAGCAGACACTTTACGGCCAAGGTTGGGGCCGAGGTGTTACAGTTACAAATTATACATCACATAATAATAATACTCCATCCTTCCTATAATAATACGGAGTAATAATAATACTAATAATAAACATATTTAAATTTATAATATTAATTCATATTTAGGTGTATGTAGCTTTAAGTAAAATAATGTGATTTAATCAAATAGAAATTATTATTTAATCCTTGAAGAAGTATTAATACCATTTTTATTATCTTTTTCCTGATATGATTGGAGGTGATCTAATCTGATTGGATCTGATTTTAATAAGAATAAGTATAAAAAAATAGACCTTGGGCAACAGACCCTAAGAGCATTTTTGTCATGCCCCTAAATCCTCCCACACATTAGCATTCTACTAACTTTCTATCCTGCCCCAAAATTCTGCAGTGCTATCACACTATAAACATGCATCTCTGTTTCTTTTACAATATTCATCATTTTTAATTCAAAACTTATATAAGTTTAATATAAATATTTATTTCTTAATAATAATAGATAAATATTAATAAATAAAATAAAAGTAATAAATTCAGAATTAACAAAAATAAATAAAAAATTAACATTAATTAAAAGTTAATTATTGAAATTAAAAAATAAAATTGAAATAAAAAATTCAAATTTGAATACATTAAAAAAGGGTCTAAAATAAAAAATAGAATTGAAAAAAAGTAGATTGGTGTCAAGGAAATAAAAGCTTAAAAATGAATTGGTAAAAGAGGGGGGTGCAGGGCGGCGGACCGTCACAATGGACGGCCGCTGCGAATTTCTGCTTGAAATTAAGCCCTGTTGGGGCGTTAGACATGGGCGTGCGACGTGACTAAAAAACGCCCATCCTCCAGCAATGGGCAACCGGCGTGGCAGAAGCTAAAGAATCATGTGGCGCGAAAGTTTGCTTCTTCCATTGTAAATGCGTTAAAGAACGAAACACTAAATTATCTGTTTGGTTATAAAAAAATTGGAAAGAACAAAATGTTGTGTAAGAATTTATTTTACATTTGAATTCTTAGATTTTAATTTTAAAATTTTTAGATTTCAAATTATAAGGTGGAGTAAGCCGAATTAATATATTGAATTTTGTTGTATTGCAATTTGAGTGAAATTTAAATGTAGAATGCAATGTCAAGTTTGTAGACAAGTTGTAGAAAAAAGAACCAATTTTATAATTGGGGCTCTATATTACACTCTATATTATAGGGTTTTCCATATTTAATACCCTCTTCGTCCCTATTTTGACTACAAAATGAGAATTACGATGCAAAATCCCACAATTTTTTAAATCATTTTATTTAGAAATTAGTAGATTAATAAGAAATAATAATTACATATTAAAAAATATGTCCAAAGTGCTACAAAACAAAAAATAACAAGAATATTTTGTTTTATTAAATAATCAGTGAAAACACAAAAATAAACATAATTTATCGACAAGAGCGAGAGAATAAAATTGTAATCAAAATGGGGACACGGGGAGTATTTTATAATCAAATATTACACTTGTGGTCCTTTTTTACTTTTTGATATTTTAGTTTTATATTGAAGGCTAAAGTGTAATTTCACAATGGTCGTATATCTTTGTTGTCAAATCCAATGCCAGAGGTTGCTCCTGATGCATTTTTTGTGGACCATAGTCGCTATCTACTACAACTATAGTCTATACATATCATCTCTAGTCGGAAACCTTGTAACATCCCAACCGCATAACTCGAATACATGGATTAACGAATCGGGTTACTACTAATTTGGCATCCTAACACACAATATTTTCAAAAGGATTTTAAACATCCAAACACTTCTCATAATAAAGTCCATCACCGAAGTAAAAATCCAAACGGTGTGGATCGGAAGCTTAATTTATTTTAGCAAACACAACCCGGGACTCTTACCTAAAAACATAATAAATTATTCAGAAATAGTAATTAATTCCAAATCCTAAATCAAGTCAACCCACATTTCTTCATCCTCATTGCCCTCCGGGATTGGTTCCCGATTCATCATATCCTTGATTACCTACGTGTAGCAAACAAACAAAACTACACGCTCAACATGTAACACCCCCGACCCACGCGACCCGAATACAATGACCGGTGGATCGAGTTGTCACAAAAATTTATATCCAAGCACAATAATTTTCAAATTAATTTAAAACATTTCATTCAAAACTTTATTTATAAATTTGTTGGAGTTAACAAAACGGTGCGGAAGCTTTAAGTACTTAATTCAAACACAACTCTGGATTCTTAGCCCTAAACACTAATAAATTCTAATATAATATTCAATGAAATAAACTCCTCCATCCATCTCTTCACCCTCGCTGCCCTCCAGGATTACTTCCTTATTCTATCGTTCTTGTTCCCTATGTGTAGCAAAGAGGAAAAAGTGATACACGCTCATCATTGCTGCTCAGTGAGAAATATCTAATAGTTCAACTACGCATATAGATAAACTCACTAGCTCATAATTTCATACAATATCATGCACACAGGTATAACAAGGATAATATCACATAACAATCATCAAATAATAACTACAATTCATAAGTCAAACTGTTAAATATATTATTTATATTTAATTATTCTTGTATTATAGTGTTACCATAATTGTATTACCTTCCTACTATGTCTCTCCTACCATAATTAGGATTGAGATCTCTTGTATAAATACACATGTAATTAACACAAATCATCAATGAAAATATTCTTTCTACATGGTATCGGAGCCAATTAAACCCTAAACCTAAAATTTCCCAGCGCCGCGTCTTCCTTCGGCTCTCTTCCCCAACACCGATCTCTCTCTCTCTCGCTGCTCTTCTCTGCCGGCGAACTCCCTCCCTCTTTCCACCATGGCCGATAAAGCAGAAAGTGTAATCACATCTCAAGATACCACCTCCAAATCTCCCCACCTTGCTTTCACCACCATCTTCAACGTAACGTAAAACTCCATGTTCCCATTCAACTCAGCCTCTCACAACCCAACTATAAAAAGTGGAGTCGATTGTTTCTCCTCCTAGTTCGGCGCTTCAATCTCCATCGGCACCTCGATGGCTCTGTCATCCCCACCTCTAAAGACGACGATGAATGGTTCCAACTGGATGCTCTTCTCCAGGGCTGGATTCTCTCTACCATCACCGACGAAGTCTCGGATCTTGTCATCTCCTCCACCACCTCTGCAGCTTCTCTCTGGAAGGTTATTCACGATCTCTTCCATGACAACAAACATGCTCGGGCCATGCAACTCGAGCACCAATTCCACACCACCATCAAAGGCAACACCCCCATGGCTACCTACTCTCAGAATCTCTTCAACATCGCCGATTGGCTAGACGATGTTGATGCGCCGGTATCACAGAACCAACTCGTTCTTCAGATGCTATGAGGGTTACCGGAGGATCTTCAGGCTCAAACTTCCTTTCTTCAATTCCAGGATCCGTTGCCTGCATTCCTCCAAGCCCGCTCGGCTCTCCTTTTGTTGGAACGGCAACGGGCATCGCTGGACAATCACGGCTCATCGGCCCTCGTAGCACGTTCGGGCAGCTCTCCACATACCGGGGGTTATGGCGGTAGCCACCAGTCGCCGGGCAGCAGCTTCTCCGGTGGGTCCCAGGGCAGTTTTGGCAGCGGCTACGGGGATGGCTCCTCCGGGCAGCGCAGCGGCTATGGACGGGGTCACGGACGTGGCGGTGGAAACCGGGGACGAGGTCGAGGTCGTAGCGGCTCAAACGGATCGCGGCAACGACCACCCAACGACGGCTACTATACCTGGAATTCACCACACCCGAACCCAAACCCAGGGCTGTTGGGCCCACGGCCCACCCCCTCCCCTCACCCCTATCAAGCCTATGCTTACCACACCATCACCCCAAACCCC